GCACACCCATGACTAGGCAAGGGTCTGCCCAAGACCCCACGTTAAGCAAACAAGAGCTTTTCCATCTTCCTAATTGTCTGAATGCACCTGCTATACACTATGAAGACCCAGGGAGCAGCCTAGCATAGAGCTACGTTATGGTCCGACCCAAGAGGGAAGTAACCACAGCCCGAGTTAAATGGGAATACGCTAAAGCCCACCAAGGACCAGGTTCCATGGGGGAACTGGGCATCCAGGTCTACAAGTTGAAAGTCACTGGGAACCGCTAAGAAACGTCAAGATTAGGATGGAGTCAGTCCCACAAGTGCTGGGGGACCAATAAGAACTGCCTTGATTGCTGCCACCATACTTCCCATTGTAACTGTAACTGCAGAATTGCCCACATCCAGCTGGGATTGCAGGAACTGCAGAGTGATGTAAAATATGGCCTCGTGGGGGTCCAACTGGTGGACTGCACACCAGGAGGCAAACAGTCTTCAGTAGTAGGAGTAGCCATGAAACTCCTGCAGAGTTTGCACCACTGGCTCAGGCAGCCGTAGGGCACAGAGCCTCTCTCTCTAAAGGGTCGGGCCATCTGCCTGAGCCCTGCAGGGAAGAGATGGATGGTCCTGCTCTTATGAGACTGGAGGTCCTTTTGGACAGGAAGCACCCATGCGGTCCAGTTCAGGAGCGGTGGGATTGCTGAAAACCATGGCATGTGAGGCCAAGAGGAGCCACCAAGATCCACATCCTCTCTTCGTTCTGGACCTTTTTTCTGATATTTTTCTGAGTACATAAACCACTGACCGCAGACAATACCCCAGTAAGGTCCCCAATGCCACAGCAAGGTTTCACTGAGCGTGCCATGACCCCTTGACCAATGTGCCAATAAGCCTGGATGCCCTCCCAATATTGTGGCCCAACTCTGTTCTCTGGGAACTAGCTACTGGCTAAATACAAGACAAGTTGTATTTATCAGGGGAGAAGCACAGTCTCCAGTCAACGGCTCCCCTGGAGCTAGGGCCAGAGACGAGCTGCTAAGAGGCTAATCTGAAATAAGCCACAATCAGGGGGAGGTAGAGACACCTACCTAGGGCCTGCTCCCCCCTCACATGTGAGGCAGCCACTTTCCCAACTGCCCTAGGCATATCAGAAAGTGGAGGGCCAGTGCACTTTGCCCCCCAAAACAAGAATGGGTCTCTCCAGTTTATGCAGGCAAGACAGAACAGTCTATGAATGACTGAGGACTTTCTCTGGCCAGCATAGCATGCTGGCTTATCGCTTAAAGGCAGCACATAATAGCAGAAATAGCACTTAATGTGTAACTTCGCGGCACCATGAGCAATACACTGAGCTCTCTCTGCAGCCTGGAGACAAAACTCTCACTTGCTGGTCTGACAGTTTCAGACCTGAACCCGTGAGACCACAGGAAATACACCAGAAGGATTACAGCAGGACACAGCGACACTGAGCGGGCAACTCGTTAGACTGCGATAAATAGACTAGAGATAACTTCAGTCCAGCACTTGACCAGTATGCATTGCCAATTTCCATTTTGAAAATGTTCCTTTTGATGGATCAGATTTTCTGTAGTAGTGCACAAATTCTCCTCTTAAGTTTGTTGTAATAAATCCCAACTTACTTGGGAAGTGGTATATGCCTCTTCAGGTCTGGTTTTCTATGTCTATGTTTATTCATGAGACCCCTGGTCTTATTTCTCGAACGCTGTTTTTGAAAACTGTTTTCACACATGAATTATGGACACTTGGAGGAGAATCTGGACATGAACATTGTCTGAAGCCAAGTTTTGTCACTTGCTGCATATGCGTAACAGAGCATTCTATGCATTTAATGCATTCTCACTACTGCAAATGTTCTATTTGGTTTTAATAAAAGGTGGTGATTGCTCTATTTTCGCATTAGCTCATTCAGATATTATATGGATTAATTGTTGTCTAAGCCAACCAATTTGATTCTCATTCAAATGTTTAGAAAAGTTAAAGACTGTGGTACATGTGTGAAAATAGCTGAAAAGCTCCATGTAACACCCTAGAGGGAAATTTCATTTCAAATCATCAAATTTTTAGAACATTTTAATTCATTAATTCAAACAATGCCAGAGATTTCAGTGTGCAACAAAATTGCCTGAAACTGGCCATTTTTCAAAGAAAAAAATATCTTGATAAGTATTTTGAAATATAAAGATAAAACCCCACCACACTCATTATATATGTTATGTATGTGTCATAATTTTTTTATGCAAATGAGAGACTATTTAGCAAAAGGCCTGTCTCTGTTTGAGATGGAATGACTTAATAGCAATATCTGTTTTATAAGAGCAAAAAGAAATCTATTAATGTTGTTCAGTCAGCATGTGTCTTTTACCAGGTCGTTGAAACTCGCTGTAAGAAAGTTTGCACTTCGAAGTCTGACCTTCGCTCCAGTGACTTCAGCATCGTGGGATCTTTACCTCGAGACTTTGAACTTTCTAACTTTGACTGTTATGGTAAACCAGTTGAAGTTACAGGGGCCCTCAAATCCCAAAACAAAGCCAACAAGAAACCACCACCACCTAAACCTGTCATACCGCAAGCTGCTAAGCGCATTGATCTTTATGCAAGAGCCCTTTTTCCCTTCTCTTTCCTCTTCTTCAATGTTGTCTACTGGTCAGTCTATCTGTAAGAGGAAGAAGAAGAAAGTGATTTGTATCTTGGGTACAGAGCGGACAGTGCTGACATTAAAAGTACACTTCATCCTGTCAATATTTTCCAAGGTACATGGATGCTTGAAATTTTATTTGTAAGTGTCAACTCACCATATGGGTTAGATATCGGGTTAAAGCAAGTTATATCATGGAAGGTCTCCTTTTAACCTACATTTTCAACCTGTTCACATCTTCTATACAGGTATACAACACAAAAACTGGTGGGTTGTTTGTTTGTTTGGTTTTTTAACAATGGATATGTGCCATAAAACAAGCTATTGCAGAAATCCACCATATGTGATGAAATTAGAAATGCCTGCAACTAGAACATTTTTCCAACAAACTAACAGTAATCTCTGAGCAGTCTTACTCGTTCAGCAGTGTTGATGCTCCAAGGAAACCATGCCTTTCACAGCTTTATTGCAGTCGATCAAAACAGACTGGAAACTGTCAGTTTGTCTGGTGTCAAAAATACAACCATTATGAAGGCTGGATTTATTATTGCCAGAAGTTCCTACACAAGATTGCACGTCGTTGCTAACTAACAACTCTTTTTTTCTGTTTAGAGCCATGTTTGCAAAGCTGCAAAAACCAGTGTGGTTCCCGGGTATAACTGCAAATATTCACAAATATAAAACTTAGCGTCCTATTGCTTGAGTCCCCTTAAAGCCTGTATATTAAGTAGGCACTGCATGTTTGTCTTTGTGTAATACAGGACATTGTGCTAGTTATAACCTAAATTATGCAGTTTAAAATATAACTGTATCCTGTGCATTAGAAATAAATGCTTTTTATTGAGGGTAACATTACTGGTCACACTTCATGCTAAAGGTATAGTATTCTAGAGTGGCCAATGTGGATGAGAATCGAGAAAAAGAAGGTTCTCTACAAGAACCGGTTCCTAGTAGTCCAATTCCTTGGAATTGTTAGTCTGCCTGCCTGTCAATCCCGCTTATCAGTTCTGGCACGTATTCTACAATTAGCTGATTTCAGTTATGGAGGAGCAAATTGTAAGGCAGTTTTCAGCGTGGATACGAACATAATTTTTATTTTTATTGCACAAAAGGAAGTGCAAACTGCATCCAGGACAGAACAGGTTGTTGCTAATATAACTTCAGTTCTTGCAAAGAACAGCATGCTAATGCTAAGCTATCCAAGATCCCAGAGCGATGCTAAGCTGAGTGAATGCCATCACTTGTGAGCTGCCGTGAAGCCAGCTGCCACTGAACTTCATCCGGTAACAAACAGATGAGCATTTAGGCTGCAGGCTTCGTTTCTACCTGTTTTTATTTATATATTTATATTTATTTATATATTTATATAGCCCAAAATCACAACAACCTGTTCATGTTTCTGAAGTAGAATCAACATGGAGATCACTTTAAAGTCTCTTTGTGCTTGTTTTCTTTTTTTTTTTGTGCTGTAGGCTTTGTGTTCATACCTAAATACTAAGAGAAATATTATATGTGTCCTCATTAGGGCAGGGATTTGTGTTGATGTGTGGGACTGTAAATTCAGGTTTATATTGGCAAATGGTAATTATGAGACAATATGATTTTGTTCATTTGACCGAGAAATGCAGTTGTAACATAACAAATAGTGTAACAAAGTACTTCCTCCTCCTTTTGAGTAATGACCCCTGATCATAACAAAGAGTGGAAATACCTCCAACATCCACAAATATTTGACCCAGCGGATGTAATTAATTTGCATGAAAGTAATGTCTTTGACATGGTGCTTAGAGATGTTGGTGACTCTGAAAATGAGATTGGATACGGGAATTGAATCGATAAGTGATATCAATCATGAAATCCCATCCCTAGTGGCGAATAATAAATAAAATAAATTCCATGATGAAAATATAATCCAAAGAGAATAAAAAATGTAAAAATATTCTTCTGCAGTTTCCCTGTTGTTTCAAGTTTGACAATAGAAGCATGATTGAATTTATTTGTATTATAACAGTCTTAATTTAGACATTTTATTGGCACCATATTGAAAAAAGAAACATTTTAATGTTTTTAATTAGATGCCGTGTTTTCATATTAAGGTAAAAAAAAATCCAAGTCATATTGGATTCACAGCCTTTTTTTCATCACTGCGTCAGCGCAACAGAGCCAGACTGGAAGACTGACACTCGTTACTAAGACTAATCTTTTTAGCTTGTGATTGTGGAAGTCCTGTGATCCTTGTGCTTTTAGATCTTACTGCAGCGTTTGATACTCTTGACCACAATAGTCTTACCTCTCGTTTGGAACACCTGGTTGGCATCAAAGGTGCAGCACTGGATTGGCTTCGTTCATATTTGAGTGGCAGAACGTTTAGTGTTAAAGTTTAAAAATTTTGAGTCCACCTCAGCCCTCCTTCCTTGTAGGGTGCCTCAGGGCTCAATCCTTGGCCCTCTTCTTTTTTCATTATACCTGGTCCCTTTGGGGTCTATTTTTAGAAAACACAAAATATCCTTTCACTGCTACGCAGACGACAGCCAAATTTATTTGCCTTTAGCACCAAATGACCCAGGCTCCATCCAAATCCTTTTGAACGGCCTTGAAGATGTCAAAGCTTGGATGGCTCTGAACTTTTTGAATTGCAATGAGAGTAAAATGGAGGTGATTGTATTTAGACCTAATAATATTTCATGCAACCCGCTTAGAAATTGTGGTTGGCTAGGGTCTTATATCAAACAGCATGTGACAAATTTGGGAGTCATTATGGACTCAGATGTTAAATTGAACAAACATATTAGTTCTGTGTTGCAACAAAGCTTTTTCCAGTTGAGGCAAATAGCAAAGCTGAAGCCAGTTTTGTCAAAACGTGACATGGAGAAGGTAATACATGCCTTTATTTCAACATGGCTTGACTACTGTAATGCACTTTATGTTGGAGTAAGCCAAGGGTCTCTTGCACGTCTTCGGCTCGTTCAAAATGCTGCTGCCTGCCTCTTGACTGGTACCCACAGGCATGAACATGTAATACCTATCCTGTCCTCTCTTCATTGGCTTCCTGTTCATGACAGATTACTTTCAAAGTCCTAACGCTGGTTTATAAATGCCTTAATGGTCTTGCTCCCCCATACCTTTCCAAGTTGCTTCAGCCTTATATTCCTTCGCAGACCCTTAGATCAGCTGACCAGCTGCGGTTGGTTGTCCCAAAATCTGGGCTAAAACATAGAGGAAAACAAGCCTTTTCAATTATGGCCCCCAAGCTTTGGAATACGCTCCCTTTAAATATTAGACAGGCATCTTGGGTTTCCTGTTTTTAAGTTACTTTTGAAAACACACCTTTTTTCGATATTATGTGTATTATTATGTTTTTATGTGAGTGTCAGTGGTTTTATCTTGTGTTTTACCCTTTTGTTTCTGTTCAGCACTTTGGGCAAACCTTCTGTTTTTAAATGTGCTATATAAACAAATTGGATTTGGATTAAAATACACTGCTCAAAAGAACACGTTTTAATCAGAGTATAGCATCAAGTCACTTAAACTTCTGGGAAATGGATCTGGTCATTTAAATAGCAGCAAGGGTTTTTAATCACTATCATCTGCTTTGGTGTTTATGAAAGTGAACCTGTTACCTAAAATTCCATTACCTTACATAAAATTTAACTTGGTACTGGGTACAGGGGGTAATGTGTATGCCAAAGTGAGGAAGAAGAAACACTTCTATCATGGGAAGCTCCCAGCAGCCCAGGGCAATTGCAGTATAACTATAACCTTAACTATATGCTATATGGTAGAGAGGGTGTCTTTCTCCCAAATCCGAACTGGAAGCTGGTTCCACAGAATAGGGGCCTGGAAAGTGAAAGGCACTGTCTCCCATTTTACTACCCTAGTAGTCAAAGGTAAACTAGCAGTCTGAGAACAAATGCTCTATTGTGGAGCCTGGGTACTCAAGACCTTGTATGTGAGGAGCAGGATTTTGAATTCAATTCTGGATTTAACAGGGAGCCAATGAAGAGAAGCCAATGTAGTCCTTGTCAGTACTCTTGCTGCAGCACTTTGGATTAACTGAAGGCTTTTCAGGGAGTTTTCAGGACGCCCTGATAGTAATGAATTACAGTAGTCCAGCCTAGAAGTAATAAATGCATGAGCTAGTTTTTGAGTGTGACTCTAAGACAGAATCTTTCTCATTTCAGAGAGATTGCCCAATTCAAAGAAAGCAGTCCTACAAATTTGTTTAATATGTGCATTGAAGGACATATCCTGATCAAAAACGACTCCAGTATTCCTCACAGTGTTAATGGTAGGTCCACCACTAGTGCCCTGTAATTTAATGCCATCCATAGGTTGAATCTGGTTAGATACCATATTTCTAACATTCTTTTAGGCCACAGTAGAGTAAAAGAAAATTAGAGGTCATCCAGGTCTTTACTTTTATAAGAAATTCCTGCAATCTAATTGGTGTGTGCTATCTAACTTACTACTACGGATACTGCCAAAGGCAAGCATGGATAATGTAAACAGAATCGGTGTTAGTACACAAAGTGTAGCATCCATAACTAACGACTCTCCATTTACATAAACAAATTGGAGTCTGTTAGATAGATATGATCCAAATCCCTGCAGTACAGAACTTTTAATATCTATAGCATGCTCTAATTGCTGTAATAAAATATTATGGTGAACAGTATCAAACTGCACTGAGGTCTAGCAGGACAAGCACAGAGATGAGTCCACTGTCA